TACTGTATGCTATAAACCTAGATTTGTTCAGTAATATTAAAGATGTGTGTTTGTAGGCACTCTGTTAAACACAAAGTGAAGTAACAAGCACTTTCGTGTCCCAGCGCTCTTCGTTGTGCCTCGGCAGTCTTTCGTGCACAACCACAGGCAATGCAAGCAAACTGTAAGAGCCTCCGTGCTTTTCAGTCAGGGAGATGCACCCTCAACATGTGGCGGCTTGTTAAGAATATGCAAACACCTCCATTTAAATGATCTCGTTTTGCGTGAAATCCGATGGCTCTCTGTACGCGTTTTGCATCCCCCCCGTCCTCAGTTACTCTTTGCAAACTTGAGGCTGGTGGAGTTTGGTCTTCTTTTGTGGGGTGAGCATGGAGTGGTTTCAGCTTTGCTAAGGCAAGCGGCGTTTGGACAGGTACCATGTCTTTGAGCTACTGTAATCGCCCCAGGTCGCTTTGTCCGACAACAACGGAGGACGAGCATTGAACGCGGTTTGAGTTCGTGGACCTGGACCCGCCTTCTCTTGTTAGAACGGAACTGTCTTGGCGACCCACTTCCGAAATGCCTTCAACGCAAAATTGACTGTGCCTACTAAAGCGATCTTAATTATAATACACACTGTAGCATCAAGGTTAAATAGAGGTCTCGCAACAATCACCTGATAAGTATATCAACTAAAACAAGAGTCCGTGCAAGGCAACCGGAGTAAGGACAACTCGAGTAAGTAGCACTTGAAGAATGATAGAATTTATAATACATTCTGCCACTGTGTGTTCATAAACCGCCCGGTGCTCTAACATTTTATCCTACCTATTGAAAAATCCTACTAAGTTCAGCGTGAACGAACGGTCTCCCTGAACATTTGCACTGTACAGTATGTGAAACCTGCAGCTGAGAAGATTACAGTTTTAAACTTTTCCATAAATTAATTATTAAGAACATAAGAGGAGGACATTCAGCCAATCCAGTCCTTTTAGTAGTAGATCTGATGACTTAATCTGGGTCTTTCTTAAAGGGAGCTTCAGCTTCAACAACATGGCCAGACTTGTTCCAGACTCCCACTCCACTTTGTGTCTAGATGGACCTCCAGGTCTCAGATTTGAATGTACTTCAGTGTAGTTCCCACATGTGTTCTCTGGGTCCTGTTTCACTGTTGAAACTGCAGAAGGTCACTGGGTTGATTTCCTCAGTGCAATTGATGCCAGAGTTTTGGAATATTTGTAACGAATGCT